GCCCCAGGCTTGGGCTCAGCATCTTCTAGAGCCCCCAACCCCAGCTGAGCACACACTAGTCCCTCACTCTAGCTGTTGTCCTTGAGGGAGCCCTGTGATTTCGTGGGGTTCACCATTTATTTTATTATTTTTTTATTTTGGCAACATTACAACCTTATATAAATTTCAGGTGTACATCATTATATTTCAATTTCTGTGTAGATTACATCATGTTTACCACCCAAAGCCCAATTACCATCGGTCACCATCAGGGCTTCACCATTCAGAGCCTTAGATACTCCTGGATTTAACTTAGCTCTAGGTATACAATAAACCTGCGTGAGTAGAGAACGGTTAGAGAGCAAAGGAAGGGTCAGCTAAAGACTAAAAGCAAGGCCAGACCCAATCCATGGTGAGATGAGTCAGGTCAGGACAAGACCAAATCCATGACGAGATGAGCCGGTTCGGGACAAGACCAATGTCAGATAAAGACCAGGACCACCAAGGCCTAGGCTGCACCAACCAAGGGCAACTAATGGCTGTGATGGGCATCAAGGCCGGCAAGACAAGGTCAGGCCGAGGCATGGCTGTGTTTGGATGGATGCTGAAGTAGGGTCCTGTGGGCTCGGGCTCCTCTGAGCTTCAGGGTACCCCTGGGGGCTGGCACTCAGACAGGAACAAAGTGTGAAAGACGATGGAGGGGAGGAACCAGGCCAGACACCCTCCCCTGCCACCACCACCTGCCTCTGCTGAGGTTGTCCCAGCAGCGCCCCCGCCACATGGGCCCCAGAGAGATGCCTCCCACATGGAGGGTCCCACATGGGGCTCCCGGCAGGGGGCTGGGAGAGCAGGGAGTGTGCATCAGAGCAAATGCTGCATGGGGAATAGTGGGGGGCCACCACCAAGGAGTGCAAAGCTGGCATCTCCAGGAACAGCCCCCCGGGTCCTAGTCCTCCAGCCATCAGAGCTCACCTGGCTGAGGGAGAACTGGGTTGAAGCAGAGTCTCCCTTGCAGGTGGGTCACAGAGACACCCGCTGCCCCCTCCCCCACCTCCTGTGGGGTGAATGGCACTGGAAGAACAGGAGTGTGCTGGAGAGCCTTTATTGTCTATTGACTGCCGCTGGCGCAGTGTTAGAGGACCTGGCCAGAGGGTCTGGGGGATCCACTCTCCTAGAGGCCCCTGTCCAGCCAGGGCTCAGGGGTCTCTGCATCTTGGGTCAGTGGTTAATTGACGGTGTTTGCAAAATGTGGCAGGCCTGTTGGCACAGCAGGGCGCTGGGCGCCTGAGGCTGGGGCTGGCCAGGTGGGTGGGCAGGAGGGGCCGAGGGTCAGCAGAGGGTGGAGCCTGTCTGCTTCCTCCCCTGGGCCTCAGTGTCCTGGCCCTCATAGTAGGAGGGGTCCAAGCATAGCCTGTGATTGCTGAGCACTCACAGGGCCGAGCGTGTGCGTGCATGCGTGTGAGTGTATGTGTGTGTGTATGCATGTGTGCGAGAGTGTGTACACGTGTGCGTGTGCGTGTGTGTGAGAGAGCATGCTTGAGGTGGGATCTGTTGTGCATGCCACACGGAACTACCATCAGTAAC